CCCCCCCCCCCCCCCCCCCCCCCACCCAGGGGAATCATTAGCCAGGACAATGGGTCAACTAAATTAGAATATACTGCTATAACTATAAATTATGCTCTCCTGCATTAGCCACCTCATACCATAGTTTCCTTCCAATCCTTCCTCAATGGGTGCAAATGTCGTGTAAAGGTGAACATCTGATAAAACCACATCCTGAATACAACTATCGTCATTGCACCAGTCAGACATTGACATTCGTTTTAAATAAATAGTAAATCAGTTAATAAAACTAACTGCATATTTGATATTAAATCATTCTTTGATCTCTTCAATAGTAACTTGAAAGCAGCGTATTTACGTATAAATTTCTGCTAAATTTTAGATAAAATCTCTAGATTCTGCATGTTTGATGTTTCAAATCAAATTTGAAATTCGACGCCATAATGTTTTGCTAACATAAAGTTTCTCCAAAGGTTATTGCGGGCGCACCAATACAGTAATTAAATTTCAAAAGAACAACGTGCGAATTGTTATTGACTAAATTTTACAATATTTATTTTAAATTATCTTTATAACAATTGTTTTAAAATTATTTTATTAATTCTGCAATTTTGTTGTCGTCTTACTGGTGAACAGCGCGGAAATTTTTAATAAAATGTCAAATCAACGTCTTGTTAAGGATCTATTTTTGTGGAGCATGGCTGCAATTTACTTATTTGCATTTGGGTCACTGTATGTCCAGATCCCAGGTAAGTGTATGTGTGATATTTATAAACTGGTAAGCCAAAGTTTTCTAACTACCATAGATAACTTTTGTAATATCATGACGGGTGGAGTAAAGTTTGTTTTGGGTGCGACGATCTACTACATGCAAAAGCTACTGTACCCTTAATAATGACTATATCATTATAACTCCGTGCTGGCGCGAGAATTTAGGGGGGGGGGGATTTGCGGCTGGCAAAGAATGGTGGTAGGATTAAGTGTTGATAGTTGAGTTAATTTGCCCGGAAAATCTGGCTGAAAATGATCCATTTCAAGAGATATACAGTAACAACATGTGTTTTGTTTTGTCTATCCTTGTTGTATTTCTCAAAAGTCTTGGTGGACAGCAGCGGTGGAGTATGTCTAAACAGCGAAGATTTTATCAACACCGGTGATGTGCTTCTTCCTTAATTCTTGAAAAGATTATACAGTGCAGGTGTTAATTTCCCCGCCTTTCCCAGTCATTTCCCAAAATGCATGCAAAGGAGGTAGATCTATGCATGAGTCAATTCCATGGTCAATATCCCCCCTGAGAACACTCCTGTGCATTCACATTTTTGCAAATTTAGTGCAATTATGACTAATGGGCCCAACCTTGTTTCACTTCGCACACACTTTTGTTGGAAAGATGCCAGAGACTGTTAATTTAAAACAGCCAAATAGAAACAACGTTTAAGTACTGTACGTAATTTCAAGCTAATTAGACTGTTTGTATTTACTAAATTGTTTTTGAGAAAGCATTTAAACAATGTTTCTAGACATTGGTAGCAATAGCAAGTGACCAAATGGAGAACAGCTGCACAGCTTAACTGCTATACAGTCAAGCAGTAAAAACTTGTTGAAACACCGATGTAGTCCTTTGCAGATTTCAACAGTTTAAAATTCCCAGCCACTGGACATGGGATGGTCACTCATGAATGGAATTGACACATGCATAAACTAAAGTTCTATAAAGCCTGTTTGTGACATTGATGCATGCAGACATGAGCTGCCAATGATTCACTGCTGGGGAAATAATATTTAGTGAAATATAATGGGCAACACTGGGTGGAAAATACAATGGGCAACACCGAGTGCCACCAAGTGTTCCAAGAGTAATTTACAAATATTCCATGCTGAAGATTTTTTGGTATTTCAAGCCTTTTCTTGATTCCTTGATTGTATACCTGGGCAAGGGGCAATGGCATGTATTTTATGACTTGTTGCTTCATAGTTTATACAATAACTGTATAAGGGGCCTTTTACCCAAGCCCTGTTTGGCTATGCAATATGATCAACAAATAGGATTTGGCTTGTCAGTCTGGGTCAACTCAACTGCTGTACAAAGTTGACAGATTTCTCCAGGGTAACCCTTTACACCTTGACCAGTATTTCTTGAGTTTTAGTCAGAGGATTCCAATAACATGGGGTGTTGCGATGGTGTAAGGGGCTGCATGGTCATTATTTAACTGGGAATAGGAGCCGAAGAGAAAGTACAATGGAGCAGAATAAATCTTTGGACTTTGCCCCACCTTTTTCAAAACAAAAATGCTTGCTTCCCCACAAGAGGACGGTATATTTCTCACATTAATCCTTCAAAACTTAGAATTTATATATACCTATGTACATAACTGTAATATGCAAAATTCCTCCTGCGATCACAGAGTCCTTGATAGTGTAAACCAGCCTTATCCGTTGTTGGATTGTAACATTGTGAAGTTCTTTCTATCATTTCAAGTCAATATATTATAAACACCATCACTTTATCACCAATGAAAATAATTATTTAACTTTGAATCATTATAGGCCTGAACCTAATATATTTAACCAATATCCAGATAATCCGACAGCATGTTTTTCAACGATCCAGCATATCCTGATAGTAAAATGCTCCACTGTACAGACATAAGTAGTTTAACCATGTACAGTAAGTGGCAATATGCCCAGATGTGCCCTACAGTACTTTAGTATTTTATGCTGTCTCATATAATATGCCTGCATGATGATTTTACTTGTCAGGGGGAAACTGCTGCCACTCAATGGATTAATTGGACTATCTACCCATGCACCATGTTAACCCTTTAAGTGGCAATGCTCCCAGATGCGCCTTACTTTATTATTTTACTCTGTCTAATGCCTGACCATTTTACTCGTCAGGTGGAGAGTGCTGCCACTCAATGGGTTGAGAATTAAGTGCATGCTGTACATATATATACAGCACAACTTCCTAATGTATTAGGTATTCCTTCTGTTGACAAACTGCAAAAAAGGAGATAAAGCAAGGTGGATGAATGCATACAAACTAATACAAATGACTCCAACATTCCTGATTCTCATCCCAGGAATAATCTTCAATGCTTTGTTCTCAGTCAGTCAGTCCATTTCTATTTCATACGGTTTTCAGTACCAATTGAAAGGTTTGCTGCTCATGGAACACCATATAACAAAATATAAGTTGGCAGATTAACTATATACAGCAGGCTGGTGGCCGGACATTTTGCCGAAAGACATTTTGCCGAACGGATATTTTGCCGACGGACGTTTTGCCGAACGGACGTTTTGCCGAATGGACATTTTGCCGAACGGACAATTTGACGAATGGACATTTTGCCGAAAATAGAGATATCTTCTGAACTTTAAATGTTCGCTTACACGGTCAAAGTTTCTGTGATTAAAGTCATTAATTGTCGATTTTGATGACAGAAACTTTGATAGTTTATAGTTTCGTTTTATATTCTTTCAAGATTTTGACATGTTTACCGAAAATTCGCGATATAAAGAATAACATCATTCAATATCATTCATGAATGTGATTTCCCCGAGAACTGTGAATGTATTCCATGATTCTCGAAGTGAAATTCGCTTACGTCGTCTTTATATTCGCTTGTTTGTTTACGATCTGACGTCAAAACACGTTCCTAACAAATGAGTCATCCGCTGCACAAATTAACAAGCTACCAATAGTCAATATAGTTATGCACTGCTAATGACCATATAATGGTTATTTTACACAATGGTTGAGAAATAACATCTTTATTTTCGGCAAGTTGTCCTTTCGGCAAACTGTCCGTTCGGCAAAATGTCCGTTCGGCAAAATGTCCGTTCGGCAAAATGTCCGTTCGGCAAAGTGTCTTTCGGCAAAATGTCCGGGTACCCAGCAGGCTGGGGCGATTGTTGAAAAAAACGAAACCGAAAACCGTCAAGAAAAAACCGAGAGTACATGTATTTGTTGTAATATGTGGTATATACTTGGCTGACGTTTTTTCAGTACCAGATCGTAATTGGCACAGCCATTACGTGAATCAGGGGTCTTAGCTTGGATTTTAGATCTTGGGCGTGTATCTAAATTAATTTCCAGGGTGTGTTCATGCCAATTACTCAGAATATGGTAATTAATTAACGCATTTCCACTGACATCGGGCTACGCCTATGCTTTACAACCAAATTGGCAAATACAAGGCGAGCATACTCTCATCTTTCGTACTGACAATGTATATTAGCAATTATTGAGGGCATTTAAAGCCATTTTAACACCATACGGTTCCCATTATCTAAATCCATCAAAACATAAAAATATCACCGATCAATGTTACCAGTTTCAACAAACTGGATTTTACAAAATTTGTCGTAATTTTTGGCCTCAGGGCCTGTTTATATGGAGGCGAGTTACCCGGCTAGGCGAGCTACTCGGCAACGGCGAGTTCCCGGCTATTAATATAGAAACTAATAGTAATCCCGGGTGACTGTGTACATGATGCAGCCGAGTAACTCGCCTTGGCGAGTTCCGGGCAGAAAGAGGCGGGATATCACCTAGGCGAGATGAATATTTTCCATGTAAACACTTTGCCCGGGTAACTCGGACGCCCGAGATAGAATGTATGTGCTTTGCATTTGAAATATAATAGCTCAAAAATACATACTTATATATCGATTCGACAGATAAGTTTTCCTGAATTTCTCCGCACTTATTCTTGTATTTTGAAGACATTTTGTAATGTTTTCTAACGTTTCAAACGACTTAAATCCTTTTTGTATTTTGGCGCTATTTCGGCGTCATACGGCAATCATGCAGCAAATACCGAGTAACTCGATTCCATATAAACAGAGCGCTTGTTTGTCCCGCCTGGGCTCGCCTTGCCGGGTAACTCGCCTCCATATATACAGGCCCTCAGTAACACGGCCACCACAGTTTTCTAAGACCCTGACGTGAATTATCGCACCCGGTTGTTTAAAACTCTTAACTATTTTAATTTTTAACTAGCCGTTTAACTACATTTTTATACAACTGTCCCCTGCATTGTAATTTTGCCATCTATATGCCTCTTTTCGTACATTTTCTATAGGTCTTTATGGAGATTCTGGCCTGCTGCCTGCTAAGAGCCTCTTGAGAAAAGGTAAATGCCAGCTTAGATCTAGGTCTTCTATTTTTAATTTCAGCGCAGAAAATAGATTCACGGTTCACAGTTTGATTGAAATAAGTTACTGTACACTGTCACTGTACAGTAAGTACAGTAAGTACAGTAAGTACAGTAAGCGCTAAGTTATAGTTTAATACACACATTTTGAATTATTGTGCTTTGTAACTGAAAAACAAGCGTTTGAAGTTGCATGACATATTAGGGACCATGCATAAAGTAACTGTTATGGTGGGCTGGAGGAAAATAGGTTTTCCAAAACAAAGCCCCGTAGGAAAAGC